GGCCTGAGGAGTATTTGGAAGGGAGAGCACTTGGAATACATATATAAGCCAATTTGACTCCCTGAATGTAGAATAGGGATAACTGCAATTTTTAAAATGTGTTAGCTTCAATCCACATCAGACACCCAATGCTTCCATGTTTGAGAATCCTAATGAATTGCTATTGTTTTGATAAAATACAGCAAGGATAGGAGTTGTGTGATCTCCTTTAACTGGACTGGAAATCAACTCATTGCTCACATTTGGTTCTGCTGGAAAGGTTGATGAGAACTGTAGTCTAACAAGTTGCTCTCCTCTGCTGTAGAGTTACTCGCAGTTTTGCATTAAGCTCCCTTGTTTATGTGTCAGCCCACACTGTATGCACAAGAAACCAAAGACAGACAAAAACAACACTTCTTCCTACAGCTTAGATTGGCATCAACACAGCCTCTGTGTCTTGCTTGTCTCCCAGACTTGACTTCAGCAAGAACTGACAAAAATACTGTATTTGTTTTAATGTAAGCAATTTATCAGGTTTGAAAAGGGTAGAGAACAGTCCTTGTTTTTATACTTAATTTGCATCTTCTGAACCAATAAACCAGGAGTGAGTAACTGTAGTTAGGGCTGAGGAAGGAGGGATAGGGGAAAAAAAAAAAACCAGGACTTGAACCAATGGAGAACCTACACCTCTCTGGGGTAGACAGGTTAAAAACAACCAATACATTATAAATTAATTTTGGTATATCAACATACCAGAAAGTTAAAAAAAAGTCTTTTGATAAATGCCAGCATATCCGAGTCTACTCGAAGGACTTAAAATTTATTAATATGATTCCGATATGGCAAAATGATATCTTAAAACCAGAACCAAAGGAGCCCCGACGGTGCAGTGGTTAAATGCTGGTACTGCAGCCACAACACTGTAAGTTCAGAGGAAGTCTCCAAGGTCCACTTAGCCTTCCATCCTTTTGTAGGTCGGTAAAATGAGTACTGAGTTTGTTGGGGGCAACTGGCTTACTCATTGTAAACTGCTTAGGGAGTGCTAATTCACTGATAAGTGGTATAGCAATGTACTTGATATTGCTAATTGTTTATAGGAATGAATATTCATGCATCTTGCCTCAAAGCCAGTGCCAGCTATCAATATCCTTGACTTTGTTTTTTGTACTGTGACTCCAATAATCCCTTACCATTGCCCATGTTTACCATAGCACATGAGAATTGCATTCCCACACACCACATCTGTGCTAGAGTTAGCAACCGTTGTATGCCTATACTCACTAACTGCTCACTAATAAATAAAGCACTCGCTAATAAATAAATAATTTGTGTTATGGTGACTTCTTGATTTTTTTTAAACCACACCTATTCTTTGCTGGATCACTCCTAACCTACAGCCGCTTTTTCATCTTCTTTCTCTGTCTCTTCCATTATATCACATGTGTGGTTTTGTTCAAATGTAAGGTTACATTTATATGTTTTATAAAGATGATTAAGAAGCTTGTCTACTTTCTCTGCTAGATCCTGTATTGGGAGCATGGGCCAAGTTGTTGTTCAGCTTCTGCCTTGACAATTGATTACTCTGCTTGAACAATCCACTACATTTCCCAACAATTGTGAGTGTTTGTCACATGTTCTCCATTTCTGACATACACAGTCATTTATGACTCATTATATTTATTATTTTTGCCTTGAAATATCCAGGTTACAAGGTGGTACCAAAGGCAACTGATGTCAATGAACCTCAAAGTCACAAGAATCGGCTATTTGATAATGTGCATCAAGAAATAACATATTACACATACACATGGTCATAGGGAAGGACATTAATGCTGCCTCTTGTTGGCTGCTTTTTGGTGCCAAATATTATACTGGCAACAGCTCTCAGAGGAATGCATAGATTTGGATGTGTAATTGGAATGGAAATACTAGCTGGACGATTCTGGAAGTCTCTGACCAAAAAATTACTGTTCCAAGCTCTACCCCAAATAATGCTGAGATTCCCACTAAGCGCCTTACAAAATACAAAGGAAATGCAACCTGAATGCCAGTGTTCTTTTGCCAACCAAACTTTTTATGTTAGGCCAGACAGCTGGTGGGATAATAGACAAATGTAAAAGGGAGCCACTTTTACATTTTACTGACAGCTGTTTTTAATGTCTTTTGTCAACCAAATTTTGCTGCTTTTACATCATGGGATTCTTTTATGATGACGCTCCTTCCAAGAATAACTTGCTTGCTCTAATCGCGTTTGCATAGAGATTTATGACTTGATGCTTATTCACTGGTTGGACTTTGCGACATGAAATGTCAGTGAGCCTGTTATAAATTGCTTCTGGCATCCCTGTTCTATCTTTTATTTGGCTCATAGTATTTCTACCTGAAAATGATAAATCCCCACTATAACTGCTTTATGTGCTTCAGTAATTACACTCTACAGAAGGGGTGTGTGTGCAGGGAGTTCTACAGACGTATCTTTTTTAAAACAGTAAGCAATAAAAAGCAGTGAAATGGGTTGAGTGCTGAAACGTTATGGAACAAAAACAATGGCTAGTGAAACATTTCTGTCACAAGAATTTGATAAATGAGTGGAATATGGGGGGAAGGGGAGGAGTATACTCTTAATACTGAGTTTTACAAGTTTGTTCATGCACCTGGCACAGGTGTTCACATTCACATCCTTCCCCTTAAATACAATCCTTAAAAGTAATTTAACAGATCAAAATGAAAACTTGAATAAAATATGACTAAGCAGAAGATGGAGGAGTGAAAATAGGAGGAAGGAATATCAACAATCTTAAGATATGTAGATGACACCATAGTACTAGCAGAAAACCTCACAGAC